ACGAGTTTCAATTTCATAAATAATTCCAAGTGAAAATGTTAAATATACCAGCAATTAGCCACTTTATTGTTAACTGCTTACTCCCGGATCTTTGATATTCCTCTTTATGTATTTACGTATGAATTAGATATTATTTTAAACGTCACCGCAGAACCCACAAAGAACAATGTCCATTCACATTTGTATTATTTCGTGGCACAGGTATATTTGTTTGTGTATTGGAAACAATCCGATTACATCCTTTTTACAATGCTCTTTTATTTATACTAAAAATACAATTGTAATTAATATTAATAAAATGCGATGTCGATAAGTCCAACAATTTATGAGCAAAATCAAAATGAAATATATTGGAGGTTAAGTTTTTCACTAAAATATTGGTACATGATAGATCTTTAGATGTGTGGTTTGATTTACCAAGATAATTTTCAAACAGATGCACAATTGCTATCGGAAGGACGACATTTACTGAATACATTTGTCATTACATATTCGTCGTCGATGCAAACATGTGAAAATAATAATTTCTATGTCGAGAAATATACAGCTCAAAATGTACCTGGTGATAGTGGGGACGTGTATTTGTAAAGGCAGAATACTGTTACTTTTTACTAGTGATCTCAATACCGGTAACAACTTCCTCACAAACGTGCTACAAATGTATTTTTGTATCGTACACCTCCACGCCTTCGTAACCTTTGTGAACAGTGAAGACAACAACAAAACGTACCACAAATTGTTCCAATACAAACGGAAAAATTCCAATGCAAGTGAAAAAAGAACGTTTTTCCGCTCCAACGTCCGTCCCCCGTCCCGACTATTTTGACGCCATAAAAATTGAGCGCTCACAATTTACGAGCCGCTGTTGAAAACTGAATAAAAAAGTTATAAAAAAAACATTCGTAAATTTCAAAATTTCCACAGGATTTTTGAAGTACGGTCGTAACCTCGTTCGGAGCTATTCGCGGTCTGAATTTTCATGGTTATATTAGAGCGGGCGGCGACTAAGCGATGCTTTTAGCCTAGTTTTGGACACGGTCAACACACGACCGTCAGGTCTAAGACAGAAGCTCAATTTAGCGGAACACGTCTGCCGGCTCAATAGACTATGTTATGAATGAAACCCCATAACCAAGTTATTTTTACCAACAAAATAAAAAGCTCATAAACTACTTTGAACTTTCGTTATTTTTCCATGAAGCTAAATTTTAAAGCTCTCTTCGGATTTTTTGAACTATTCGCTATAAAAGGTTGTCGTAATCAAATTACGCCATAAAAACTATGAGAAGGGTCTTGACGGGTCTCATTTCGATTGCTTTTTGAGTGTTTAAAAAATAAAACCAAGAATTTATAAGCTGTACTTCAAACTCCTACCGCATTACGCAGCGAGCCTTTTGTCCTTTACTGCCGTTTGAAAATTAAAAAAAAAACAATTAGTCGATTTTAAAGCAAAACGACTGGAAAAAAACTGGGAGCTCGATCAAAGAGCGCTAATTGTCCAGAGTAGGTAGTACAATTGGAACGGTTTTATTGCACGGCGGAACGGCGGCGGGACGATAGCGGGACGGCGGGGAAGCAATTTGGCGGTCTGACCGCAAGTGCTGTGCATGTTTATTAGAGACATGGACCTCGCCGCCGTCCCCCGATTTGCATAACGGCCTCGCTCGTAATTAGAAACCATCTCAGTGCCTCCTTTGTCGCGTCAAGTCTTTGCGCCAGCGTTCTACGCCTTGTATTTATACTCACAGGTATGGTATAATCGGAATTAAAACAAAACGGATATTGTTGGTGCAGACAAGCGTTGTCACTAGCCGCTAGACCCTCCTCGCTAACTCCTACTCGCTACCCGCTCGGCCGAACAACGCGTAATTACATTTGCTCGGAGCGACGTCGAAGCTTGTACGGCTGCTATTCTTCAGGACTCATTGTTCCAATTTTATGGAGAACTAGTTCTTTTGTAAGTTATGAAAATGAGAAGGAATAGTTTTAAAAGTAGCATTTTGCGACGCTTTATCTTTTCCTTAAAATGAATCAGTCTAGCGCTATCTATATATCTATGTGTCTGACTATCCTAATTATGTAAACACCAGTAGACTGGTACTAATAATTTCCACATTGTTTGGACGCAGCCGTTAAGTCTGCATCGCCCATTATCCTTGTTCGGTTACAAAGCATAAGGCGAGGCGAGGGCGCAAACAATTCAGTGATAGATATTGCAGAGCTGTTGCAGCACAGAGCACCTGTAAACACGTAGACTGGTATAAATCAGTTGCTGGAACTAACACAGAGCACCTAACGACAGAGACTGCTTCATACAAATTAATTATAAACTATTATATGAACACTCACACATTTGTCCGTTGTATTTCCTTGAAAATATACTTTTACACATTATTAGTTAGAATGCTTTGTCCCGAATGGCGCGATTTCGTTACTAAGTCAAGTGTCAAAATGAATAGTGAGGGGACATAAACGTTTATATTTTAATAAGACTAGTATTGCGGATTTTCTTCCTAACAATACATTGTACTATCGACATAATATTTGGTGTGTTATAAAGAAGATAAGCTGACATTGCCCAAATTAATTTCGTTCACCTCAAGTGTGGATGCAGAGAGCGCGCTGGCGCTGCAGGCACGGGCCGGGTAGCCAATATCGATCCAATTAATTAGACCACTAACGATATCGCGGTATGCATCACAATACTGAGCAAAATAATACCTACTCTCATATAAGCTATAGCTGCATTGATGATACGACAAAATCGTACGAATATTTTGATGTTAAAAGTTGCCCACAATCAGGCAAAAATGTAAACTTTAATGCTTTCGTCATTGCCTACAGTAGGCAGTTGCAAGTCTCCGTTATGCTTGATGAAAGATGCTTCTATTTTTTACGTCTTGTGTTCTTATGAATCAATAAAATTAGAATGAATTCATTGAAAGCTACATCATTATAAAGCAATTGCTTTTTTTAAATAAACATGAACTGTTTACATTCACAATCCCCAATACGTTGATTTGATCATTATAATCGATTCTACAATATCATCTGGTTGATTCTCCTAAGGTGTTCAACAAACATTATACTGTAGATCTACGTCAAATACTTCCGTGTGTCGCCAGCCTAAACAAACTCATTAATGATAGTGCGTAGAAACACAATGCGCAGAGATAATGGCGACGAACCGATATCCTACTTACTGCAAATTGCGTTACCTCCTGCAGCATCCTAACTTGAGGTACATATTTAAACATTCAATGTCACTTTTAAACCTTATTGCATTGCTATAGAGTTGATTTTAATTAAATAAATGTTATGATTTCATTCATAAATTCACAGAACGACTGAACAGATATCGTTAAAATTTGGCATAGATTTTGAAATTGAAGAACACGTAGGTTATTAATTAAGTTTTTTTATGCCGCGTGAATGGAGTCGCTTACACCTAAGATAATACAAAATTTAAGAACACACATGTAGCTAAATATAACATATTATCTCTAAAGCATTAAAACTATCATGAAATATAATTCACTAACTAATTGACCATTGTCCCATCATCTTAACGATATTACAGCCTATACGAATTAATAAAATTTCATTATTTCCAATAATGACTTTTAATTTCAACATTCTGTTTATGTTAATATCATAATCGGTATTATATAACTTATATTGAATTGACATACATTTAAAAATATAAGGATTATTGCATACGATTCTTGAGATTATGAAACTGGTGATAAAATATTCAAATTTAAGGTGAGTTTCCACTCGCAGAAAAACCTGTGCATGAAGAGTGTATCTTCATATTTTAACTAAAACAATAAGAATTTCAAAACTAGTTTTTTTTTACAATAGGATATTTGAAACTTATTTCAAACTAGCTGCCTGTAACTTCGTCATCATCAAAAAGGTTGCGATTTGCGAAAATACAGATAACAATTTTAAAAATTGGCTTTTTGTTGTAATTTAAATGTTCACGAAATAAGATTTTCGATATAACTTATTGTAATAAAATCAACATAATACCACTAGAAATACATTTAAAGATGTCGCTTGAAACATTTGGAATAAACGGGGGTTTTCTTTTGAATTATTAAAAAGATATAGGTAACCTTACTCAGAACCTCTCTTTACAAAAATCTATTGTTAAACGTCCCAGCCTCGGGAGATAAGTAAACGAAATCGTTCTGTCATGAAACCAAACTACATTTGAGAAATGTTTTAAAAACTACGTAACAAAATAACAAACTTAAAAAGATTATTAACATAAATTATTTAAGAATATAAAATAAAAAAAATATAATCAAACAATGTAGATGTAAAATGTTTTAACAAGATAAAAACATACTAGACTTGTACATCTACTTTATTTTACAGACCATTAGACTTCGAGACACATCTAGAAATTCTAAAGCACTTTTAGCCAATTTTCCTTTGAATTTATGAAGCAATAGCACGCCCCGCCGCGTCACCGTCTAACCAAGAATAGTCAAAACCAATCATAATACCCACGCCCTACCATTCAATAGATGAAACATTCCAATTAAAAATTTCTATATCGTCTACTAAACTTTTATGTGTTCAATAAGTAACGAAGAATCGTAATATTGCATATAATAAAATTTTATTTTATATATTTGAATGATTATATATTTCTATACTTAACCTTTGGATTAGAGGTTGAAATGGAAAAATACCTGTCAGTTTCAAGATACTTGAATTCTATGGACAATGAAAAAGAGTTTTTATTCGATTCCATTATTAGTTAAAAAAAAACTTCGTTTATTTTTAAATTCAAAATAAAAGTATCTTATTTTCTTTTATTTTTACACTTCTAAATACTTTTAGAGCCTCTGGTATTATGAATGTTTATGAACAGTGACCCACTGCGTGTTTGCTCTCGTATCCTATATTAAAATTCCGTATATTTATTTCATTTAAAAACAAAACATGATATAATTAATTCAGCACATCTGTATGTTTGTTCACAGAGCGCAGTGAGAGGCTCGCACGGTTCCTGCACGCGCAGCACAGCCTTTAGAATATCGACGGTGAGTATGTGATTCGCTAAGAACTCTACAGTGATGCGTACTCGTTAAAATTACCAGCTCACTAACTAACTGCACTAATTAGGCTCTAGGATGTGTGAGAGACAGGACTGCGTCCCCTACTATTTGTCTACATCTTTCGTGCGAGTTTCATTCGAGATATGCACACAAAGTGATACACTCATTTTAGTATTCAATCATGTTTAGGAATATCATTGTTTTAATTTTAAAGTTATTATTTATGATTACGACTTGCTTTGTGTTAATGAACAAATTACCATTGTTGTAAGCGTTTATTAACTCGATTATGGATGATTATTATAGTTGATTTCAAAATCTCGAAGCAAACTCGCGAGAAACAAACGTAAACGTATAGTAAGAACCATAACAGCTCTTCAATGTACAGAGCAAACTAATAATATATACACATATAGCAGGTTGTAGTGCGTGGAAGCTCCCTGCAGAGTCTGTAGCTTAATTGCTCTGTGCCGACGTACTTATAGTTACAAGCACGTTTAATTACCGAACATCATGTAAACTGAATTTCGTGTAGATGTGACATGTGTTAACATATTATACGTAAGCTTTAGATAGCTGCCTTTAGAACTTAACGTAGCGGACTTAAGCCACGTGTGTACTTAGAACAACGTGTGATTCATAATAACAATAGCCGCCATTGCAACAATTAATAATTCATAAGTTACCGTATTCTTACGGCAAATGAAAATATCGTGATGCAACCTGCATATATCTGCAAAGAAATTCAAAGATATGTGTGAGGTCAACACTCGCACTGGGCCAGCGTGGCTGACTATGGCTTAGCCACCACTAATGTAGGGTAGACTTCGAGCCCCTCAGAAGGGCATGTGGTGAGCTGATGATAATGTTAATAATCAACTGCCTAATTAACCTTCAATGAAAATTTTAATTACAAATCATCTATTCTACATAACAAAAAAATTATTTCCGATTGCGATAAAAATTTGTCAACTGCCTTATATGCATACCGATGTAAACTAAAGTGCACTCGTGACCATCACTTCTTGTTCAACACCAACTCGGGCGTACCAACAAAAAAGCCAAGTCAAACATCGACCTGTAAAAGTCGAACTTCGGAAATGCATCTCCATAAAACGGCCGATGGGAACGTGAAAAACTGCACACCACAATTGGTCGGGTCGCCATTGCCGGGAGCGTTCACTTGTAACTCTTCCTCTCGACTCTTTGTTCTAATTGCACCTCCATACCTCCATGCGGTGACCGCGCCCTCTAACGAACTTCCAAAACGCTATTTTGTTCCACTTTTATTTTTATTTTATTCTCTAAAAAGTTCACCAACTCAGCTAGCTGTCACGCTCCGTGTGTGTTGAACATTTTTCAACAAAGTTTAAAGTTAGCCACGTTTTATTTTGCTTCGAGAATAGTTAGTTACAAAGTAGATTAACGAGCAATTGAAATTTCGAGAGCATTGCTAGTTGAATACGGGTTTAATAAACAGATTATTTGTTTAACTACTAAGTGATTGCTTTGTATTCTTCATAAAATTCAAAGTCATAGACAACTAATAACGCAAAATTAACACCAAACAGTTGCTACTCTATGGTTAAAACAAAATTAATAAGGCTAGTCAAAACATATTTGATATTTTAGTGTCTTAAGTCTTAAGTCTTAACAAATGTTTTTTTAGAACAATTACACTAACTAGGCATTAAATTTTATAAAACCACTGGATTTATCAACGCTTTTTTATAAATCTGAGTGACGTTACTGTAAACTGCGAGGGAACTAATTGAAACGGAAGTTAGATTCAGAGCGAGATCGCGAAACGAAACCCTAGAACTCGAAACTGAAGTAAAAATTAAGTACAGCCTTCAGCGACAGTAATAAGAGACTAGTGATGGGCTACTGACAAAAAATTAACGTTTTTTCGATTGACAAATTTAAAAATTATTTTTGAACAAAATAATTTTCTTTATACATTTCTTGTAGAGCGACGGTGACGCTGTGGTTAAGCCTTTGACTTGGTATCTGCAGGTCCTAGGTCAAATTAGTATTGCAAACCTCTATCATCTATATTTGTCTACGCTTTTTAGACTAGTCAGGATATTTCATGCTATATGCATTTTTATATATCAATTTTATTTATTTGTCCCTTCTACGATAAATCTACATCCATACATATAAATAAAATTGAAGTGTTGTATATAATATCGAGAGTAAAAATTCTATGAATTTTAGAATTAATATTATAAGTAGAACGAATAAAATCGGTATTTTTTTTCGTACCATAAAGTCGTAGAACCCGTTTTTCTAAAAACGTACATCACTATTTGGAATCGCTCGCGGCACTAAGAAACAACTCATTACTCATAATTAGCTCGCGCAAACTTAATTTACCACCGTACCGAGTAATACAGCTTGAGAAGTTGTTTTTCGCGTTTTCCGTCTCCTCAAAAAATCAGCTACATTTGAAGGAACTTGAGTGTTTGTTAAAGAAATAATTGGATATTTAAAGCAATTTTTTTTAATTAGAACCAACTCAGAAACAATTTAGTTCAAAAAATACGACCATTTGCGACATCAACCAGTGGTGTACGACAGTTAGTATACGTTAAAAAATACATGTATTCTTAGAAAATCAGTGTTCTAGATAAACTTAATTCGTAGAATCGCACAAAAGGCTATGCCTTTCCGGATTTAATTTCATCCCTTCACATCAGTAGAGCCCGCATCGGCCGTTACTTTTGTAATCTCCCGGGAACCGAGAATTCGTCACGTGGTTCTCGAAGTTTTCTCAGTTCCTCGTAAACTACAATCACTATCGTTGACGACAGCTTGCTCGAAGTTGACGAGTTCCAAGAACGTTACATAAAGGAAGAGTTACAAATAAAAAACTGGACCATTTTGCATTTACATACAGTTATTTTCAAAATATTGCTGTTTTAAATTATTGCTAAGGTTAAATTGTTTCATTGAATTAGCTTGATGAATGCAATAATATTTAAATAATTAATCTATTATTTTATACAATAGACAAAAAAAAGATCAGTCTGTATGTCAAAGTTAGTTACGATGCAAATAAGGAACATCCTATACATGACGTTCGGAATAAAAGGACCGCCGCGCCCTCTGTATATTTATTACGTAACTTGCCATTTATCAAAATAATTATAAGGATCTAAATTAACTCTTATGAGGTACTTGAAACAATTCTATTTAATTTAAAAGGATAAAAAGAAAGAGTAATAATTTGTAGCAGATTTAAAATGGTAAATGATTTTGTTTTTAAAATATAAAAGCTATTAGACAATTGGACAGTTTTACCGACATATAAAATAATCTTGGTCATTGCTCGTATATCATAAAGTTAGCAATAAAATGTCAATTTCGAATCATTGGCTCATTCGTTCAGTTCGTAAAAATTGATGGATATGTTTAGAAATGCAAACGTTTCTTGTAAATAAAATAAAAAGTTCTAAAATCTTCATTTTCTTTGATAAAGTATTCAAAATTACTCTATTAATTTACACCTTTTTTAGTATCGGAGAGATTAACTTACATCTATTGATAGGCTACATATTCGCCCAAACTTAACACGGATCGAATTAATTACGCTACTTTTATTCGCAGCAATATTAAAAAGGCGTGAGAACTAACACATATTATTATGTTTACACGCGTTGATAAATTGTAAAACCAAATACGTGTATAGCAAATGACAATGCGCTTAAACAAACCGCTATTTATATGAATAAAATATGAAAACAATTGTGTTTGTTTATCAAATTGAAATATCACTCATTTATTTTGTATCAATTTTGTTACACTGTTATGTTGTTATGTTCTATTTCCGTCCCTATTATTTTAAAGAATTAATAAACAAGCTCCACAAAATGAACGTAAATTATTGGTTTCACACTTTAGCTTTTTCCTGGCCAAAGTCTTCCTTAATCCTGCTTTGGCTTATCATTTTACAAACGAAATTTGAATTTTGATTTCAATCCTTTATTTTAACACATATTTAAAAGTTAATTTCCACTAGTACACCTATCACGTTTAGATGTCAATTAAAAAAAGACAGTCCTGCATTAGATCCCATCGTTCAAGGCGCGGTTAATCAGCGCCCGAATATAAACGAAGCGTTAATAGGCACCAAGTGTGACAGCTAATTTCCTGAAGGCACCGCCCCTCCTCCAGGTTTTATGGCCCCGATCTGGATTCCGGTCACGAAGGGAGTCCCCCCAACAACCCCCACTCGCTGGCGTCTCTGCATCTAGAGGGTGCAGTCATCAAGCCCCAAAACTTACAAATTAAAACGTGCTTAGATTCTTAGTATTAAGAATCTCAAAGTTTTAAAAGATAAGATTTAAAAGGACGTATCTTTTTAATCTTATCTTTTCTAATGTTTTCGTTTTATACCTAAGGCTGCCACATCAAAGCGTTTGACACGAAATCTTTATGTTTCTTAATATTATTATAGTATCATAGAGTAAACGGAAAGTACAAATAACAATTTGTTTCCATTTACTTTTAAAACAGCAAAACCTATTTCAATGTATGTTTGTTTCTTTTAAAGTTTATAGCCCGACACCGTTACGCTTTTCAGAGTCTGTACGTATGGACAAAAGAATGCACGAATAGAATTTAAAGCAAATACCACGCATACGCTGCAACGGACACGTACAAAGATAAAACCGCTTTCTACAAAATGTACCAATATTAGTTATTGTAACAAAAAAAAATATTCTTTCTGACCAACAGATATTTGAAAATAATATTTAAAAAAATTCAAACGAATATTTTGTTTCGGACTTTAAAAACACGTAATTATTGTCTACAATAATTAAATCATTATAAGATCTGTTCCTCAAGTGCGAAGCTAATAGATGGACTAATCTTTTATCGGTTAATAGTACGCCTCGTAATAAAGTCCGACCGCTTGTGCCGGCACCCAACAGACGAGTGTTTGATAGATGTTCAAAACTTTCCCGCGCCCAACAAGC